TCGACCTAGGTAGAGAAGAAAAACGTTCGCCGCCGTTGTAGAGTCGTGAGCGGGAGTGGAACTCTGGTTTCGGCCGAGGTTCGTGGTGTGCAGTGCGCTAACCACAACACCACCGCTCCCCAAGGAGGGATACACACGCGCACAGAGGTCGAGGTGATGGTGCAGCGGCGAGTACGCTGCGCTACGAACCCGGCGGGGAGGAAGGGGGGTGGGGGGTGGGGGTGGGGAGCAGAGGTGGGAGAGCTGCGTTCGAATCCGGGGCCACGCACGGCGAACATCAGTGGCGAGTGAGATCTGAACCGGTAACCCTTCATCCTCCGGCTCAACCGCAATACCCCCCCCCCCTCTAATCCCCGCCGCGCGCTGGTTTGGCCGCTCAGACAAACGCAACATCGCCCTGTCACCAACTCGCAGTGACCAGAGTGGCGAAGTATGGTCAGACAATTCACCAACCGGACTGGCGCGGCGTGGCGCGTGGACTGATGAAGCCCAGTAAGTGGTGATGATGATGATGATTGCGGGTGATTGCTTCACTCGTGTCGAGACTCCGACAAGAGGAAGCAATTTGCTAGCGGCGTCGTTGGAAGTGGGAAAACGACTCGATTTGCGAGACAACTCAACACAAGCGCGCTCGTCAACGCAAAACAGGCGACGTTTCGGGCAATGGCCCTACTTCGTAGCACGTACATTAGAAAGGTCAGAGAGAGATGGAGTGGGTTTCGTTAAGAGTTGGAGACTGCGCTTCACACCGTGGGGTGAGTCTCGGAACAATTACATTTAAAAATCTCTTCCCCGATTGTATTTATTTAAACACCGGTCGAGAACTAGTAGTTTCCAGCGCAGGGTGAAGGTCCGGGCCACGACACTTCACGGACACGGAGGGAGTCACGAGCAGAGGGGACAGGGGCAGGATTTGAACCGGGACTTGAACACTTCCAAGGGTCTAAGAAGTTCCGGTTTCATTGATTGTCGATGTTGTCGATACATGCGCGTGAGTGCGCGCGAGTGCCGTGCGTGCGACCCGCGTTTGATTCCCGCTCACGGTCATCACCAGTGACGATTATCTGAACCGGTCTCGGGCTTCCCCTAGGTCGACTCGGCATCAGATGAGTACCTGGTGTGGTGTGTAGACATCGCCACTGGGGAGGCAAAGGCGGCCAGGCGTGGTGCTGGCCACCCACCCCCTCGTGTATCGTGCCGGCCTTCATCTGTGCTCGCGAACAACACCTGCCCTAAAAGTTGTTTAAGGCTATACGGAGGATCTTTTGTCTTGTTGATTATCCAATTTGCAACTGAACGCGTCCGAGAAAAGACCGTCACCTGGGAGATGGAGCGATTAAATTAGCTCGCGTAAAGGGCAAGCGCTGCATGGATTGTGCGGTCGCTGATCCGTGACTCTGAGACGATGGCGGCATGGGGAGGCCTTCATCCAGCAGCGGATCGATCACGGCTGATGATGACGTTGTATGTATATATCACACGCGCACACATATAGATACATCTTACGCGTATCTTGCCTATCTGTTACTCACGCGTGCGCGCGCGCGCGTGACCCGTTCAAGCGCCGCGCGACGCAACGCGCCCGTCACCTCGGCGTGCCACGCGCGCGCGCGGTTATTCAACGGGACGGGGGTCTCCAGTGGGTGCCGATAATTACGGGGCAGACACCGGGGGCTTAAGGTAGTTTTACAGTCCGGTGCCTATCCAACTTTGTTTGCACGCCGCTCGCCGCTCGCCTTTTGGCGTTCTGTGGTCGAACACTTTGAGACGAGGCTCAAGAGAAAGCTGTCTCCGGTGTGGACCAATCCGTTTCGAAGACAACGCCAAATATTCATCAGCGCATGACTTAAAGCTTTCGTGACTGCAGGAATTCATATTCTTTGGGTCTTTTGATAAAACCACGTAGATAGAAAAAATAATAAAAAATTCTAATTTTTATTTTTTATTTTTTCTCACTACGTGGCTTTACCCAAAGACCCAAAGACGATTTATCAGAGCATATTATTTGTTTGTTCGCTGTTCACCACAAGTGCCTTGTGTGTGGTTAATGCAGACGGAATTCCTTGAGAGACAAAACACTGGATTCTGTTCGGTGTTTGTAAATCTGAACGCCTGCTTTATTGCCAGAAAGGGTAAACCCCTGTTGTTATATCCGCTGAACTTCCTTTGCGCCGTACGTAGCCAACCGCGCTTTAATCGGTGAAAGGCGACAGATGGACAGATGGAGATGGCGGGGGGGGGAGTGGGAGGGGGGAGTCGTCGAGGTGTCGTGTTCGACAAATGGAGGAGGCACGAGACGACACGGAGTCCTGCGTCTTGCGGACTTTGGCGATGGACGCGCAAACATCCAACGGGGACACGTGCGAACGCCCAGGGAGTGTGTGGCCTTTCTTTACGCTCAAAAAACGCGTAAAAGTCACGCGTTTCCGCCAGAGTGTGGCCGAGAGACTAAAGAGCGAGAGAGAGAGCTCCGAAACATTGCAGGCCACTGGGAAGAAAACGCGGTTTGGGGTCTGGAACTAACTCTCCAGCACGATCGTCCGACGTTTCGCAGTAGCACGCGCTGGCGAGCTTCCGCCCGCGGGCATCAATTGAATTCCCGTGTTGTTCGACGCGGTTGTCCGACGTTTCGCAGCAAGCGCGTTGCGTTGCGTGCGAGTTTTCTACAGCAGGTGAGTTCTTTCAGGAACTCAATCTAGGATACTTGGCCAACTGAAAACGTCATAGATTTCGTTTCGTTCGTTTCCCGTACCGTAGGTGCCGGCCGCGCGGCGGGAGCGAAACGTCGGACCTCATGCCGAGCGACACGCGGTACAACTCTCCCAGAGAGCGCGTGAGAGAGAGAGAGAGAGACAGAGAGCTCCCGGGGTTGTCGTGAAAACTGAAACTTTCACGGCGTGCAGTGAGGGACCGCTTGGGGTAGAATCAGCGCGTCGCGATTCCAGCCCACATCTCCCATTATAATTGTCATCATTATTATAGTGTTATCATTTCTTCGTGGGAGATATGAGTACACCAACACGCGGCTACATTATGCTGTTATCTTCCATCGCTCCTCAACCTCCTCCTCCTCCTTCACCTCCTCCTCCTCGTCTATCACCGAGCACCTTAAATCCTCTTCAACTCATCATCTCATCTCGAGACACCGATGATCGCTCCACTTACAAATTTCGCGATCTCTCGTCCGAGCAAGCGCAGCGGCGGCCGTGGCGACTGCGCGCCCGCGCGCCCGCCCGCGCGTCCGCGTGATTCAGCGATCAGTGGAGATGAGGGATGGTGGATCACGTAGAGAGCTGTGTGTGTGTGGAACTAATATAGTTGTGATAACACATATCCTCCCTCTACCCAGCCTCCCAACCAACTCCCCACCCCACACCCCGACCTCGTCTTCCACTCTCCCCGTTTCCTCCATCTGTCTTTCACCTCCGTGACTCTCCCACAATATCTTAATCCAGTTCCATCTTCCCATCATCATCATCATCATCATCGTCGTCTACGCCGGACTCCGTGGCGCACATGCGATGCGGCGTTTGGAATTAAAGGATTGGTGGATCACGCAAAGATTGGTGAAACTCCCATACTCCCTCCTCCATCATCTCTCCATCATCGTTATCAGAACAAAATTCGTTTGAACAAGGGGGGCAACTCTTGATAGAAGTGACGGCAAGAGGTCACGCTGCGCCATTGGGATAAACCAAACACGACAACCCTCGCTACGCTCTCCATCCGACGCGTGTTGTTCGGCAAGATGGTCCGACGTTTCGCGCGCACACACACGCACACACTGGGTGGGTGGGTAGCTTCTTCGGGAAAGACACTGAGACATTTCGGCAACAAAGAAGAGTCATTTGCAGCAACTGAAGGAGGTAGGATGGGGGTAATGGAGGGAGGAGGAGGATGCGAAACGTCGGACCAGCTCGCCAAAGAGCACGCGGTACAACCGCGGAGAGCCGTGTACAGCAGCAGCAGCAGCGCGACCGCGACACGCGGGAGTGATTGACATCATTAATGCTGCGAATGTCAAGGATTACTCTGACGGGCACAAAGCACTTTGTGATCCCATCCGTCGTGGCATCATCATCATCATCATCGTCCACACCCCCCTCGAACCCCCACCCCGCACCACCAGCGTGTCGGAACGAAGTAGGAAGAGGTGCAGGAAGAGGTGTTGTGAAGAGCAGGGGGGGGGTGCGTTGGTGGAGGTGCAGCCAGTTGCCACCCGTCCCGGTTTCCCCCAGGAATCCTGTCCTCTGTAGCTTCTCATGTAAAATATGTGAAGTCTTCCCGGATCATTATACAGTAAGTTCTTCATAAGTTCTTCATAAGTACTACTTCGGTAGTCATGTTGTCACTTGCCAATTGGCGTAGTGGAGACACTGGGGGCTGTGTTGTCAGTAAACCCTGACTTACAAAACAAACAAATCCTATTCACGAGGTGAACGACGAGGTGGATGAGGAGTTGTAGCACGAGCATAATGAGGAATGTGTATGCGTTGGGGGGGGAGCGGTGGTGTAGCGGTTAGCGCGCTGCGCTACGAACCCAGCGACCCGAGTTCGATTTCCGCTTACGACCAACACCAGTAACGATTATCTCGAACCGGTCCTGGGCCTCCCCTAGGTCGACTCAGCCTCAAATGAGTACCCGGTGCGGTGTGCAAACATCGCCACTGGGGAGACAAAGGCGGCCGAGTGTGGTTTTGGCCACCCACCCCTCTCGTGTACCGTTCCGGCTTTCATAGGTGCTCACTAACAACACTTGCCCCAACAGTCTATTGATGTTATACGGGGGCTCTACGTGTGTGTGTGAGACAAAGTTGCGGACGAGGCGATGGATAACGCGGTGGGAGCGGCGGAGGAGAGGGGAAGACGAGGAGCAGTAGGAGAGGGAAGAGGAGGTGGCGAGGAGGAAAAACGAAGAGGTAGTTCATCTCTGGAGGAGGAGGAGATGGATAGAAAGGAGGCCGCGCTACCTCGTGTCCCCACCCACCCCCAACCCTCACCTCGTGTTCGTGCAGTCCGTGTAGAGCGTCTCGAAGTCGTGGCGCGAGATGAGCTTGCAACGGTTCACGCCTGGCTGGATGGCTCCCATGCCGCGCAGCACGCGCACCTGCTCCACGTTGCACACCACAGGCACGATGTGCAGCCGCTTGAGCTTCGTGTAGACCGTGTGAAGGCCGCCGACCAGGGGCTTGAGGAAGAGGTCGAACGCCTGCGGCAGGCAGATGAGCTCTTGGCCGTGCACGGTGAACGACGCCACTTTGGCGCCGTGGAGTTCGACGAGCCGGCACTCGTTGTGAGCCGGCGTGTTCTCCACCGGCGGCGGAGTGCAGTACACAACCTTCTTGTCGCCACCCGCGCCGCTCACGCAAGCGACTCCACCAACACCACCACCACCGCCGGCAGCTGCTGCAGCAGCAGCGGCTGCGGCTGCTGCTGCTGCTGCGAACTGAGCTTCGAGCGAGCACTGCTTGATGTCGCCCGCGGGTGACGCGGGGAACATGGATTTAGTCCCCGGCTCGACCCGGTACACGCCCCGGGACGAGAGTGGCGAGGGACCGCTCCCGATGCCACCGCCGCCGCCAACGCCGCCGCCGTGGTGGTGGTGATGATGGTGCGGCGGCATGGGCGTTGAGCCATCGGGAGGTGGAGGAGGCGCTGATTGCGGTTGCGGTGGCTGCTGCTGCTGCTGCGGTTGAGACTGCGGTTGCTGCTGCTGCTGTTGCTGCTGCTGCTGTTGCTGCTGCTGCTGCAGGCTCTGTTGTTGCGGTAGAGACGCGGGCGGGCTGCTGGGCGCGTAGGCGGACTTGTGCTGCTCTTGTGCCAGATAAAGGCCGCTGAGCAGCGATGCGGGGGAGCCGTCCGAGGAGCCGGAGCCGTGCGACGAGAAGGGCGACTTTTGCTCCGAGCCGCCGGGAACCCCCGCGGAGCGGAAGAGCGGCGCGCCCCCCGCGGTGCCCACACTCATGGATGCGCTTTCGGTCATCAGGTAGACGGGTTTGCTGTCGGGCATGTAAACGCCACCGCCACCACCACCACCACCGCCACCACCTTGAGACGGACACTCCGAGGTGGGTGAGCCGGAGAAGACGGGCGGTTTGGTGTCGGGCAGGAACGCGACTCCTCCGGGCGACGCCGACTCCGAGGGGGACGGCGTCGAGCACGGGGTCTTCGACTCGGACCAGTAGAGATCTCTGAGGGCCAAGTTCTCGACGGGAGGAGACACCGGGTAGCCCTTGTTGTGTTCGGGCCTGCGCTGAGAGCCGAGACCTCCACCGCCGCCGCCGCCACCGCCGCTGGCCGGCGGGTCTCCCGGGGATGGGGGTCCGAAAGGCTGCTCGCTCTTGCTCTCCTGGCGGTACATGGCCCCGCCGGGCACGGGAGCGCTCGCAGAGTGCATGACGGACGAGGGAGGCACGAGGGGAGCGGGGACAGCCATGGGAGCTTAGGGGGAGGGAAGGAGGGAGGGAAGGAAGGAAAGGAGGAGGAGGTGGATGGAGAGGGGGCTATGTAGTCTCGAAATGAACCGCGCGCGCAAAAAACTTGGATTGCGCGACGCTTTCTGTGCGCGCGCGCGCGCGAGATTTAGAAATAGAGCGAGCGAGAGAGAGACGCGGCCTCTTTCTCCTCCTCCTCGTCTCTCTGCTTCTGCTCGATCCTCTTCGCAATTACTCCGAGGAAGTCCCCCCCCCCCACCACCACCACCACCACACACACACCGCCTCCCACCTTCTTCTTTGACTAACAGTGGCGTCGCCTCTCCCCTCCCTCCCTCCCTCTCTCTTCCTCCCCTCTCTCTCTCTTCCTCCCTGTCTAACCCTGCTCCGTCCGTGTTTTGGTGACGCAATCTGTCCGCGATGGAGCGAGCGCAGTAATGACGGTCTGGGTGGGGTGAGTGGGGTGGGTGGTTGGGTGGGTGGGTGGGGGGGTCAGTGGCGTTAGAACGCAGCGCAAGCGCCGTGCCGTGCGCCGCGCGACAAATGGTGTTGGTGGTGGGTTGGAGGTGGCGGCGCTGGTGGTGGTGGTGGTGGCGACAGAGCGGAGGGGAGGGCGCGATTGTTGTGGGTGGAGCTTTATTTGTCTCTATACCCGCTTCTTTCTACCGTGGACATCGCGTTCCCCTGTATGTCCGATTGCCTCCCTCCCCCGCACCCCCCCCCCCATACCCCCCACCCTTCGCCATCCCTCTAACCCCCTCCCCCCTCTAGCCAACCCCTGTCGCCGTCGCTGCTACCATCACCACCATCGACAGGCACGCAGACCCCCACCTCGCTCCCTGTCACCAGTCTCCACCCCCTCCCCCCGCCCATCCCCCCCCGACCACCACCCCCAGATCCCCCCACCACCCCCACCACCACCCCCCACCACCACCTCGCCTCTACAAACAGCAGCCGATCGCTTTCGGGGCTGCTCAGACCCCCCCCCCTCGCCCTCCCCTCTCAACTTCCATCCTCCTCCTCTTGACACTGAACACCGCGCGAGCGATGCGCGTTTTGTGACTCCTCCAGAGCCTCGCTCGAGTGTAGTGTGTAGTGTAGTGTGTAGTGTAGTGTGTGGTGTAGTGTATAGTGTAGTGTAGTGTGTAGTGTAGTGTGTAGTGTAGTGTGTTGTGTAGTGTATAGTGTAGTGTGTAGTGTAGTGTAGTGTGTAGTGTAGTGTGTAGTGTAGTGTATAGTGTAGTGTGTAGTGTAGTGTGTAGTATAGTGTGTAGTGTAGTGTGTAGTGTAGTGTGTAGTGTCATGTGTCGTGTGTCGTGTAGTGTGTAGTGTAGTGTATAGTGTAGTGTAGTGTGTAGTGTAGTGTGTAGTGTAGTGTGTAGTGTAGTGTCTAGTGTAGTGTAGTGTGTAGTGTAGTGTGTAGTGTAGTGTATAGTGTAGTGTGTAGTATAGTGTGTAGTGTAGTGTGTAGTGTAGTGTAGTGTGTAGTGTAGTGTGTAGTGTAGTGTGTAGTGATGTAGTGTAGTGTAGTGTGTAGTGTAGTGTGTAGTGTAGTGTGTAGTGTATAGTAGTGTAGTGTGGTGTGTGGTGTAGTGTGTGATGTAGTGTGTGGTGTAGTGTATAGTAGTGTAGTGTATAGTGTAGTGTGTAGTGTAGTGTGTAGTGTAGTGTAGTGTGTAGTGTGGTGTAGTGTAGAGTGTAGTGTAGTGTGTAGTGTAGTGTGTAGTGTGGTGTAGTGTAGTGTGGTGTAGTGTGTAGTGTAGTGTGTAGTGTGTGGTGTAGTGTGTGTAGTGTACAGTGTAGTGTAGTGTGTGGTGTGTAGTGTAGTGTGTAGTGTAGTGTGTGGTGTAGTGTAGTGTGTGGTGTAGTGTGTGGTGTAGTGTGTAGTGTAGTGTGTGGTGTAGTGTGTAGTGTAGTGTATAGTGTAGTGTGTGGTGTAGTGTGTAGTGTGTAGTGTAGTGTGTAGTTTAGTGTAGTGTGTGGTGTAGTGTGTAGTGTAGTGTGTAGTGTAGTGTATAGTGTAGTGTAGTGTGTAGTGTAGTGTGTGGTGTAGTGTGTAGTGTAGTGTGTAGTGTAGTGTGTAGTGTAGTGTATAGTGTAGTGTGTAGTGTAGTGTGTGGTGTAGTGTGTGGTGTATTGTATAGTAGTGTAGTGTGTGGTGTAGTGTAGTGTGTGGTATAGTGTGTGGTGTAGTGTGTAGTGTAGTGTGCAGTGTAGTGTGTAGTGTAGTGTGTAGTGTGTGGTGTAGTGTGTGGTGTATTGTATAGTAGTGTAGTGTGTGGTGTAGTGTAGTGTGTGGTGTATTGTATAGTAGTGTAGTGTGTGGTGTAGTGTAGTGTGTAGTGTAATGTGTAGTGTAATGTATTGTGTAGTGTGTAGTGTAGTGTAGTGTGTAGTGTAATGTGTAGTGTAGTGTGTAGTGTAGTGTGTAGTGTAGAGTGTAGTGTAGTGTAGTGTGTGGTGTAGTGTGTGGTGTAGTGTAGTGTGTGCTGTAATGTGTAGTGTAGTGTAGTGTGTGGTGTAGTGTGTGGTGTAGTGTGTAGTGTAGTGTGTAGTGTGTGGTGTAGTGTGTGGTGTAGTGTAGTGTAGTGTGTGGTGTAGTGTGTAGTGTAGTGTGTAGTGTAGTGTGTGGTGTAGTGTGTAGTGTAGTGTGTAGTGTAGTGTGTGGTGTAGTGCGTGGTGTAGTGCGTAGTGTAGTGTGTAGTGTAGTGTGTAGTGTGTGGTGTAGTGTGTGGTGTAGTGTGTAGTGTAGTGTGTAGTGTAGTGTGTGGTGCAGTGTAGTGTGTAGTGTAGTATAGTGTTTAGTGTAGTGTGTAGTGTAGTGTGTGGTGTAGTATATAGTGTAGTGTGTAGTGAAGTGTGTGGTGTAGTGTGTAGTGTAGTGTGTGGTGTAGTGTGTAGTGTAGTGTGTGGTGTAGTGTGTGATGGAGTGTGTAGTGTGGTGTGTAGTGTAGTGTGTAGTGTAGTGTGTAGTGTAGTGTGTGGTGTGGTGTAGTGTGTGGTGTAGTGTGTGGGGATGAGTGATGTATGGGGTGTGTGTGGTGTCGGGTGTATGAGGTGGGTGTGCGCGGTGTTCAGTGTGTATGGGCGTGTGGTGTAGTATATAGTGTAGTGTGTAGTGAAGTGTGTGGTGTAGTATATAGTGTAGTGTGTAGTGAAGTGTGTGGTGTAGTGTAGTGTGAGGTGTAGTGTGTAGTGTGTGGTGTGTAGTGTAGTGGGGTAGTGTAGTGTGTAGTGTAGTGTGTGGTGTAGTGTAGTGTGTGGTGTAGTGTGTAGTGTAGTGTGTAGTGTGTGGTGTGTAGTGTAGTGTGTAGTGTAGTGTGTAGTGTAGTGTGTGGTGTAGTGTGTGGTGTAGTGTGTGGTGTGGTGTAGTGTGTGATGGAGTGTGTAGTGTGGTGTGTAGTGTAGTGTGTAGTGTAGTGTGTAGTGTAGTGTGTGGTGTGGTGTAGTGTGTGGTGTAGTGTGTGGGGATGAGTGGTGTATGGGGTGTGTGTGGTGTCGGGTGTATGAGGTGTGTGTGCGCGATGTGTTCAGTGTGTATGGGCGTGTGGTATGTTGCTATATGTGTGGGGAGCGGTGGTGTAGCGGTTAGCGCTACGAACCTGGCGAGCCGAGTTCGATTCCCGCTCACAGCCAACACCTGTGACCGGTCCTGGGCCTCCCCTAGGTCGACTCAGCCTCAAACGAGAACCTGGTGCGGTGCGTAAAAATATCGCCACTGGGAAGACAAAGGCGGCCGGGCGTGGTGCTGGCCACCCACCCCCTCGTGTAACGTTCTGGCCTTTATAGGTGCTCGCTAATAGCACTTGCCCCAACAGTCTGATAAGGCTGTACGGGGGATCTTTGTCTTTGCTATATGGGTGGTTGACGACGATGATGATTATGTCCGGTTGATTCGGAAGTTTGGTGTACGTGGAGTGACTTTTTGAAGCAAGTTTGCTCCATAGAAGTGACGGCAACCTCCCTCGCCTTGACACAAGTGGCTGCGGCTCGCTGATGATTGACAATCAACAAAGTGTGGGAGGGGGTGGCGGGGAGGGGGGTAGAGGGGGATTCGAGGGGAGGAAGGGATTGAGAGGGGGAGGGGGAATTTATCGACCTTGAATTTATACCGCAGGAAACTTTATTTCTTCTTGTCTGCTTTTCCCTTCCGTGAAAGAGCTTCCTTGTTTGAGAGAAGGCACGCAGCGCATTCCTGTAATAAATATAGTGATTAAAAAATGTGTGACCTTGCATTCATCTCCTGCACCCCCCCCCCACCCCGAGGCACAGGCCACGTCAACTCCCCCTCCCCACTCACAGCGACCCCCACCCCAGCCCCCAATCTGCCCCCCCCCCTCCCCTCGGTTTGAGAATCTCTTTGTGTTTGAAGATTCGTAATTGCGAGTAATTATGAGGCCGACAGCTGGAACAATGGTGCAAGTTTCTTAAATCCCCCCAATCCCAACTCCCCATTTCCCCCCGTCCCCCTCACCCCGTCTCTGTCCACCAGCGCTGTGCGTGGTGGTGGTGGCACCACGTGTGGTGGGGCACCGTGTGGGCAACTCCCCCAACTCTCACGAGGACATCGGGCCCAGCGTGGATGGGGGGTACAGCCATAATCCTCGCGGGCGTGGGCTCACTCTCTCAAGCTCCGTCTCGTTGGAGGCGCTGTCTTAGCCAGCAGCCGCGTGTCCAAGAAATTGCAGGGATGCGCCTTTATTCCTTTTTATGAAGGAGGTGACGGGGGTGGGAGGGAGCGGTGGCGCAGCGGTTAGCGCGCTGCGCTGTGTACTCACGGCGAACATCAGTGGCGAGTGAATCAATTGATTGTGGATTCGTCCCTTTAGCAACTCCCCGCCTCCGCCGCTGCCGCTACGAACCCTCCCGAACCGAGACCCACGAACTCAACCCGCACCGATGAATCCTGAGACTCGTCCACACACTTCGAGAGTGATTGTGCAAGATCGTTCGCGAAGGCGGGGGGGGGCTGGGGGGGCGGGCAAGGCAAGGGGGGCAAGAATGGTGCGGGCGAGAGACGCACGATGCTTGGAGTTACATCGAGTGCGAGTTCGAGGTGGATGCACGTGGATTAGAGAACACGGCGCGGGTCAAAGGGCATCATTCAGACTGTGAGTGCGAAGCGCCCAGCAACACAAGAACAACACCTAGATTTGAAGCTTTCGTGGCTGCAAGGATTCATAGTCACGTAGATGAAAATTTAAATTAATGAAAGTAAAATAAAAAAATAATAAAAATCACGACGTTTCGGAGGCAACACAAGCTTCCGTCTTCAGGTGGACCCGTCACAGCACGATAGCTG